GAAGCCGCTATGTTCTTTAGACTGAACTGTCGCGCTTCTTGTTGCGTCACACCTCAACCCGCCTCAAAGCCAACGCTGATTGGACGTTCGTTTGGTGAACGGCTCCAAATTTTCTTTAATGGACAGTAGCCAGACTGATCTGCCTGTTTTCCAGTGTGGTCCTGTTTCTCTGACTGTGACTAACTGGATGTGCTCTCTTCGTCCTCTGGCATGGGAGCTGGCTCGGAGCTCGTCTGCCTGGCTGTGTGTTTCCTGGACGGGGCCGCCTTTTACAGCTGCTTTTTGTGTCTCTGCTTCTGTCTCCTTGAACCCCAGTCGGCCTCGGCAGATGGCCGCTCACACTGAGCCTGGTTCTGCTGGAGGTTTCTTCCTGTTCAAAGGGAGTTTTTCCTCTCCACTGTCGCTACAAGCATGCTTAGTGTGAGGGATTGTATTTGAGTCAATGAGTCGATGCAATCAACTGGTTTTCCTTAGATAGAAAACTTTGTATCAATTTGACTGTATGATCTGATTAAACTGTAAAGTGCCTTGAGATGACATGTGTTGTGAATTTGGCGCTATATAAATAAACTGAATTGAATTGAATTGAATCTGCGAGTGAAACCTTGAAAGCTCGCGAGATCAGGATGGTCTCACGAGGCTAGGATTATTGTAATTCTTTACAATAAGGGAGTCAACAAACTGTAGTAAAAGCCTCCTTGAGATGACGAGTTGTGAATTGGCGCTATAGAAATAAACTGAATTGAATTGAAATTGAATTATTACCACATGCTGAGGAATAGGAGAGGATGCTTGAAAGTTAACAGAGAAATGTGGCAGACTATCTCCTGTTGCCAAATATTCATTTAGACTTTCACAACTTTTAAAAAGTCTCCAAATATGAGCAAAACCTCCCATCGGAGCTCTGCTTGGAACCAGACTCAGAATGTGTTGAATAGCTACACTTAAAATAATTTGATGAGGGCAGTGTTTTGGATTGGTAAGCCAGCAGCACCTTGGTAAGCACATAGAATGAGGTCATCATCAGAGAAGGTCACCCTGAAGCAGCCATGACACCACGGGAGGGGGGTCCTGTCTCAGCGGGAGATGACAAGCAACGCCCTCCCTCCTTCTCCCCCTCCACCACATTGAGCTCTCTTTTATGTAAAGACATTATAGGCAATTATTTCCTCTCTTCAAGAACCCAGCTGGAGGTTAAGCTGACAGGCAGAAGAGAGAGGAGTACTTTTTTAAAAGACAGAAATAAGCAGAACAGAGAGTAAGACCAACCAACGCTCTAATTCAGATGAATCGGAGGGGGAGTTAGACGAGGGACGTCACAGAATCCCTGCGTCACGGAACGTGGGTCCATTCACGCACTGCGAGGTGACGTAGCAGACATGCAGAGCGGAAAGTGGGGGTAGACTGTCACCATGTGTAGTAGTGCTCAGATTTGTTGAATCCCTTCACGTAGGGGCTGAAACAAAGCATGAGTTGAACTGACAGGTGAAAAAAGCCATAGAAAATGATATTTTATCTTATTACTGAAATATAGCTGATCTCTTAGAGTTTCTACTGATAAAAACTGAGACACACACACAGCTCATTTACCTTTTAAGGTCATCTAAAATACAGCACAAGCTATAGCCAGCCTGTCACGCTATGATAACCTTTACTTAAAATCCCTAATTTTTTAGGGGAATTTAAACATAAAATATAAAAACAAAGACATTCAACAAGATCAAGATGCTTTTTTATAGAAGGAAAATACCCCCCAAAATATTCCTACAAATGCTAAGTGTTTAACAAATGGATTTCTACATGTATAATGTGTATCTATTGCATCAATTAACTGTTATTTTGATCAATCAGCTGCTTGATTAGTTGTGTTATTGACAAAACTACGCTAAGCATTTTTCTTTTTAAAGAGGAAGAGCAAACCAGTGCAATAACAACTCGTTTTATTTCAATATTTAATTTCTCTAAAGGACCAATAAGGTTTTTTTTTAATTGAACTGAACTGAGTTTGCTAATTACCTACAGTTTTAAGCGATCATCAGAAGATGGATTTCTCAAAAAAATATAAAAAGGTTTTAGTTAATTCTAAAGAAAGAAACTAAAAGCAGAATGTTTTCAGTCCAACTTAAAAAAAAAGCTTGATTCAAAACATCAAACATCTGCTTTATTTGACCAACCGTTTCAACAATCGTAGAACCCAAGATTGATGATTCCTTGATTATTGAAATGACTCTGTATTGGCTGATGTTTTCTTAAACATATAAAAGTGACCACTATATGTCCAGGATGTGTGGGATCTGCAGAGATGTTAGCCATTTTGTCTTGTCCCTAGCTAAAACATGCCTCTTGCTGGTAAGCTTCATTACCATTATGGACAAGAAGGCTTTACTGTACTATACTGTAAGGGGTGTGAATAAATGGTGGCAGGGTATTTATCATTAAATATGTCTTAAATTCATTGAAAAAAACTGTAATTCTAAAACTAATATTCTGAAGATAAAGAATGCATTTTCCTTTTGAAATGATCATCAAATTGAGTCCTGAAAATTTATTTAATATTAACTATTTTTCGTGAAAACTCCAATTGGAGAAGTTAAATGCTCATATGCTAAAATACAAAAGTGTCAATTAGGCATATATATATATATATATATATATATATATATATATATATATATATATATATATATATATATATATATATAGTATTTTTACAGTACAGTCTTTTTTATTCAGCACCCGCATGAAAGTCTGAAAGTCAAGCTACTTTCCCATCCAACCAGTGTATTCTTATTATTCGTTCGTATGAAATCGTACGAAAAGTTATGCACCGTAATTTCATACGTTTAGGACGTTTTTTTCGTCGTATGCGCATGCGTATCTGACGCACCATTCAAGAACATAGAATTAAAAAAACAATTAGCCCTAACCCTGACCCTAACCCTAAGATATAAAACAGCAAGCAACGTTGTTAGAGACATGAATAAGTGATGATTGCACAGTTTTTCCCAGTTTTACGTCCGTCCGCGGATCTGCTTTTTTTGTCTGTCTGCCTGCGCATGCACACTGATCTGGTTTTTTGAGGAAAAACATCCAAAACGTACGAAATAGTGTGCATAACTTTTCGTACGATTTCATACGAACTCATAATGAGAATATGTTGATCCAACAGCCATCCTACACAACTTGCTGGTGAAAAGTCATTCAGGTCATCGTCATTCCAATAAAATCAGTCCACTGTACTTTGTTTCCAA